CTGGGCCAATTGTTCAACGTGCCTTCTTAACAGACGAGTTCAAGATAGCAAATTTTTGTTCACCCATCCAATGACTGGCTTTCGCGAAAGTTGCTTATAACCGTTTATCATACTATAATTTTTGTTAATGTTGTTCAGTTATTTATATGTCCATTCCAGATGACCAGACAAATGTTGCCACGACCTATGATGAAGAAAACACTCGCTGTAATTTTTAACCCTGATAGGTAATACGGGAGTGGTATTGATTTAATAAATAAACCAAAACCTCAATTGCTATTATGACATGGCACCACTGATTATTATAACACAGGACGAATCGATATCTGTACTGTATTTAGTTCCAGGGCCCGATTTAAGGGGGCAAATGGTCAGAGCGACAAAACTAAAGATGCTAGAAAATAAAATGTTTTAAATTTTCACTTTAGGTATAAAAATAATCTTATAAAGTAGTTTTTAATATTGCAAAGGAAAGTGCTTGCATAGTTTTTATAAAGCAGTTGTTATTTATAATACATTTATATGGCATGATTTTTACGTTGCTTCTGTCAGAACTGGTGATATTATTTCGCTCACTCTTTTTACCATCCAAAATACCTAAGTCCTAAACGAGCGTTTTGTAAAAAAAATGTTGAACGATCCAAAGGACTTTTTAATAAGTTTGTTTGAATAAAGATAATTTTGACTGACTTTAAAAAATTACACTTTTATAATTAAGAGCCCTAATCAAATAATATATTTGAATAATTTACAAATCTAACATAATAATCTAAGTATCTTTTGAGTAACACATGACTGTTCAGAAGGCGAACCTTATTTTTGCCCTGAATTGCTTAATTACTGGATCGGGCCCTGGTGAGCTCACAAATACCGTGACCTCGACTATTGACACCTGAGGTCCTCCTCGACCAAATAACTATGTATACTTATAATTATAGCAAACATCCTGTTTAAATAACTTAGAATTAATTAACGATTCGAGAAGATCATATATCTTTATGTCAATTGAGAACTAAGTCCTTTCAACTTACCTTACCCAAAAAGTCTTAAGAGTAGACGAAATTATAATTTGACAGCAAATCTATGACATGCGTTAAAGTAATTAATATTAAACAAAATATACATTAATACTATTGCTGTATTCAAAATTTCCAACGAGTTCTACTTTATCAAAAACAATAAGAAGATTGATCAATAAAAACCGTACCTACCCCACACGCGAAGGGAGAAAACTGTCGATTACTGATGTTGACAGGCGCGAAGCCTTTCCAAAAACGCCATGTCTGATCACACTATTGAAGCGACTGAGCGCCACGAGCGAGCGTTAACTGCTCGTTAAATTCACATTAACCTCTTCTCCTTTTGATCCCTCCATTCTTACAAGGAATAATAAACAATTTTCAATGTAAAAAGATAGCGAATCGATCGATAGAGTCGTAACTCTTTCACTGAATACGAGCGGAAAGCTTTATATCATGTTGATTTTAGAATCATCTTAGACAGATAGTATTATGAGTTTGTTCGTAAGGAGTTAACTAGGAGAGCGTACTCACGGTAGACTGGGATTGTTGCGCGCCTTACATGGGCTCCACAGTTCACTGCACCAATAAGTCCGTTTGCTAGTTCGAAAAATAACAGATGCACCTTCTCTTCGGCACTCCGTCCTCAACTTGCGTAACATTTATATAACGAGACACATGCCGTCCGCTAACAAAACCGCTTGGTCAGAGTGGAGCTAACTCACGGCCCCGGAGCCTCACTCGTCCTGCCATTTTGGATTCGATCAGGGCGCACGGCGCGTACGAGACGTCTCCGCCCGCCGTGGTCGTTGACGCGCTCGCTACGTTCACGTTCACTCGTTTCGGGCGGAGTTTTGTGTGAAAATCTGGTCGCCGTAGCGGCCACTACGTTTACAGGGAAAATAAAAAAGTGTGAATCGGTCGGGTGGAGCAGTCGGCCGGCTGCGAGAGGCACATGCCGCTCGATAGTCGGGCGCGTGCGCGAGGCGCGGAGCGTGTGACGTCACGGAATCCGCGCCGCCGCTCTGCCTCCGCGACCTCCTCAATGGGACACCGCCGCCGCCATCGACTCGTCTACGCCTTAATTATTTAACTATCACTCACTCGGACATACCTACACCCACTTACTAATCCCGCGATAGGTTCAATCAGCATCTGAAGCACAATCACCTTTGCTTTTTTGCTATGTGATTAGATGCTTTGATTTTCTATTTCAAAATAAATATCCATAGGTATTACTTATTCGAAAAATGGCACAGTAAAACATTTTAAACCTCTATTAAATTCTAAAAACTTCAGTGATATTGTAGGTAAGCAAAATTTTATTTATCTGAGACAAAAAACTTAATCAAATAATTTGAACAAATTTCAGGTGACCAAGTGGATTTTTTAAGCATTTTCCATTAAGAATATTTTTCAGTATAGCATTGTGAATGCTAAATTTGATCAAATATAATTATTAGAACAGATTTACATCTTTATCAAAAGTTTAAATATTTGTAAAAATATTTCTTTCCGCTGTTTGGGTGGATTGCCTGAACATTGATGACAATATGCTCTGTATTAGCGATAATGTAACAAGTGCTTGAAAGATTCGTCAGTCTTAGTTAGTTGAGTAGTTAGAGCAGTTACCCGGATAGCCAAAGGTCATAGGTTCGAATTCCACTCAGGGTGCCAGCGACCAAGTGGATTTCTTAAGCATTTTTATTTAAAAAATATTTTTCAGTGTAGCATTGTGAGTGCGTAATTGAGCAAATATAATAATTAGAAAAAAATTTCATCTTTATCGAAAGTTTGGATATTTGTAAAACCAAGAGATTGCTAAATAAAAAAGAAAATTTGGAAGATGTCATGACGAAGAAGTTCCTCCGACCATTTGAACCTCTTTTCTGTATTCTGTGGTTTTAACAAAAAACTATCAATAATTGTACTCGTAAGCAAAACTCACTTCACATCCGCTTTCATCACTGCTAATCGAATTCCTTGCGTTCACTTGAACAACAACCACGCCTTTATCACCGAGAACATATTTCGACTGCTTTTCACTTTCACTAATATAATCATGGTTTATGACAACATCTGTTTCAGAATCCTCAATATCTTCATTATGCATTTTATCACTAGTTCTATCTACAACCACATTATTACTGTTATTTCCTGTCACGATTGTGGAATCAATATTATTTTCTTCTTTGTCATTATTCTCTTGCATTTCAGTTTGTATATAAACGTCTTTGAGTTTCTTTTTATTTTCAATATTAGACTGCCAATCACTGGGCACAGTGGCAGCATCTGAAACACTTTCTTTACATTTGCAACGGGCACAAACGATAGTTCTAATTGTACCAAACCATTGACCTATTTGGACAAAAACCACGTATAGTTTCATACTGTGTTTATTGATAAATGAAATAGTGATATCAAATATATGAAGTTCTGTCGAAATAGATATTGTACCTACTTAATCAATTTTATCGCGTTCTGCATTTTAATTAACTAGCCACCCGCCTCCGCTTCTTACGTATGCAATTTACTAGTACTCGTAGTAAGATACCAATCGGTACGATTTATTAAAAAAACATTTAGAATCGACTTAATGTTTCAGTATAGTTACGTATAATCTTGGTGAGTGATACAGCCAAATTTTAGTTATATTTCGCAGCTTCATTCTTAGCTATTGTACATATTGTAGCTATGTCTCCACGCAATAGACTTTACACGAATATTTAAAGAAAAATTAAAATAAAAAGTTCTCATTAGGTAACATGTAGGTGTCGCACAATTCGCGCACCATTTTTTTTTTCATTCTATGTTTTCGTGTCATAGCCTTTACACGCTGCGTCCGAATATTATTTTGTTCTTACGCTATAATCCATCGAAGATAACGAAATGTAAAACAATGAAGTTGCTCATATAATTGTGATCGAATTTCATGAACTGGTAAGCTCGTTTGATCATCAATTTTAATAACTCCGTATATTGATGAAGAATGTATAAAATTCTTCAGTAATTTTTGTCTCTCTGTTTTACACTAAAAGTAACCTCTGATTTTATTTTTTCCTAAAGCTTTACTTTTTCTCTAACCTTCAGCCGTGTTTTTATAAAAAAAAACTTATATATTTACATATCGGTACCTTTCTCGTAGACTTATTACAGATAGAGCAACGAACACAAGCTGTGACTCAATTAGGAAGAGAGAAAAGATCGTGGTACCTTGTCTGTTTCATTACTACAGATTGAGACAAGGAGGGTATCAGAATAGTTCAATGATTTATTTAAAGTGGAATTATAACTATAATACATGCTTTATTTAAAATGCTATTATTCCTTCTTAAACTTCCTCTACAGGGGGTAACTAAACGTGTACATCCTTTTCGATAGAACTTTTTATGTCATAATTACGCAAACAAGAAAATGGCGTTAACTTTATATCTCAGAAAATACTTTAGCATTTCCCCTACGACAAAAAATGGTTAGAACTGTAAGAAAAAATAAAAAGCGTTAGCCATAAAAACTTACCAACCTATATCTTATATAAAATATATGTAGTTAGAAATACGCCGAGTCGATTCTAACTGTGAATTATCTGCGAAATAATTTTCTTCATGAAAATTATTTCGCCCTCACTTTTGGGATCCAACAGGGAATGCTGCACACCCAACTCTAGACGTTTAGACGCCCGAAGAGGAGATCGCTGTCAGCAGGAAAGAAAAGATACATAACAACCTTTTCCTCAAACAGTGAACAATCTGCTAAGCGGTCATGATGGAGCGTTGGCTCGGATAATGCAGTTCAGCTGAAGGAAAGGGTGCGTCAATACACGATCTCTTCCTCCTTGCAGTTCTAACCTAACCTAACCAAAATTTTGTTGAAGGTATGCCTAAATAAATTCTAGCATCATAATAGCATGGCACAATAGATATTTATCAAAGGAAGATTATGCTTAGACTATTAACTCATTTAAGTTTCGTAGCATCGACATTCTGCCAGACAGAGAGAACAGAGACTGAGGGGCATCTGCTTGAAATCAATGTGCTACAGCTCAAATTAATAAAGTGAAATATTAAATGATAAATGAAATCTTAAATATATTAAAATGAAAAATAAGAAATGTGTATATTTAAGAAAATTTAATTATAACGTGCAATTTGGTAAAATTTGAAACATCACAACAAAACAGATCAACTTGAACCAAGTCATTCCAAAAGTGGTATAAATATTTATAAAATTTATTATAAAATCTAGATAAAGATACAACATTCTTTAGTTTTTTGTAAATCCAAAAAAGAACTGACCATCCAATGTCTGTGGTAACTTTATAAAAAATATACATTTTATACAGTAAAAACACCAATAAGTTACAAAGTAGTGTAAATTTCTTAAATAATCCAAGTTTATATGCACCATGTAAAAATTCTATCCATATAGTATTTAATTATGTTTTAAATATAAAATACCTTATGAAATTACATAATAATATGAAAATACATACCTGTTGAATTAACTTACTTTCTCATTTAAGTGCATACAGTAAAAAAATTTAGACCTATGTTATATTCTAACCAAAGCTTTTCTCAAATTTCGTCTCAGAAAAGCGATTGTTGGAAGACTTTGAAACCTCAAAAAATACTATTCAAAGACATGGGATTATATAATTACTTTTATCAGGCTTACGTATAAACCCAAATATCCATGACACAATGAGTATTAATGCAGTTTTCATTAATAAACGTGACTCAAGAGTGAGGTTTATATCAATATAGTACCACTCAAGTGAAGCCGCTGCTGGTGGAAAGATAGTATAGAATAATCATAATCCGAAAGTAATAAGTAAGTCAAATACGGCAGATTTTAGTATTCTTGAGTAAAGATAAACGAGATAAACACCAACTGTAATCGATTACATATTCGCAGGGTCACATTACATTAAAGTACCTTTTTATATCGACGCTGGAAAGCAAACACGTAGTAAAAACTCGCAAAACCAAGATTGTTCTTCAGAGCAGAAAAACTTTAATTTTTTCGATAAATAATTCCTATAAACGGTAACAAATAAGGTGTTCTTTAGTCAATTTATAGGGAAAAAAGTTTTTTTTTTTTGTGAAAAATATAAAGATTTTCCACTCTAAATATCCATTTTGGTTTTGCAGGTTACTACGTGTTTGCTTTTCAGCGTCGATATTAACAAAACGACATACGGCCAATTTCTGAATTGAGAAAAGTACAAGATCTCAACTAATTATTATCAATAATTCTCAGTAAAAACTTATTTTACGTTTCACAAGTCAAAAGGAATAGTTTTAACAAACTGCTATCAACTGATCATTAAAAAAATTAAAATAGAAACGGAAACCAGTTTAAGTGACGTTTAAGTTGGTGTAAGTACTGTTTGAAACGTTCTTACCTATAAATTCTCAATTCAGAAACCGAGTGATATTAAAAGTAACGTAATTAAGAAAGTTGTGTAATATTATAAATTTAAAAATGACCTTTAATGTTTCCTTACCTACTTATTATTCGATTAGCTAAATTTTATAATAACTTTGATATTTTAAAACTACTTGATATAAGCACCGACTATAACATAAATCTTAATATATTACTTACTTTGAGCATTTTGCCGTTGAACGACTAGTAAATATTCATTTCTATAATAATGAATAAGAAATAGAAACGACTCTTCATCACAGTCAGTTTGACAAAATAAGAAAATAACCTATAATTTATGATAAATTTATACTTATCTACGAATATTATCAATAAAATGACAGATTTGGACCCAATATAAGTGAGAAGACAAGACCTAAACCAATAAGACGTAAATTACATTTGGTTTAATAATTAACATTATGAGCCTAAAAATTTACATGAATAAACTTTATATGCAAATGTTGCAAAGTTATCAGGTCCCTTGTGAACTAACAGCTACAGGAGATTCAATCGATGTCCAAACTCTTGAAGCTACTGGTAAAACTGGCGAACATACCCCTGCTGGGCTTCTTTATCCTTTTCTTTTCGTCGGCTTTGAATATTTCCGTCTCTATCAACCAGTCTCGGTAGTTTTCCTCCATGTTTTTCCTCTGCTCCTCGTGCAATTGTTTGATGGGTGGGAGGGGGCCGCCGTAGTCTTCGGGCAGGAGTTCTTTGTCGACCACAGATGCAGGACCGTCGGAAGAGAAGTTGAGAAGATTTAAGAGATTTGAGTGGATAAGTGGCTTGACAAGGCACATTACTTGGTTGATGAATGACACTGTATGCACCACATGGATCTTCTTTAAACGACATGGATGGGCATTCTGTAAATAGAATATTTAATTTAATTACTTATAATGCAAAAAATAATAGAGGCAACAATGGTCGGTTGATTCGGATATGTATAAAAGAAGTCAGATGAAGAATGACAAAACTGATATATAACGAGAAAGTAAAAGAAAAAAGGAAGGAAGCCTACACTTAAAAGGATTTGACGTGAAGATATTGATAATAAGAATAGAAGAGAATAGTTTGTCCTTATAATTAATTATACTATCTTTATAGGTTTTATGGACCAGGATCAAAACAAATTGTTGAGCGTTTGCAATTTTTAAATATTCTTACGTTTGCGTACTTATTTACCAGTGCAAAGTGTCATTATCGCCCAAAGTTTTTGAAAAACCCCAGGATTCATTTTTCAGGTCAAAATTTGCAGAACAGAAGCAAGCAATCCAATAATGGGGGGAACGTTCGTTTGTAGTATTCGTTCCGTAAACGTCGTTATTTTTATATTACTATAGTTACTATAACATGCTTAAATTTTGTGAATGTTTGTCGTCTCTTTCTTTTTCGGAAGTTTTAGATAGTTTTAATTTTATTGATGCTTCCAGAGTTTTTATGATATGATACTCCTTTTTTACGCCCTGATTCCCAATCATTAAAGTAAAAATAAATAATCGTTCAAAAAAACTGATTTGGCTATCGAAGGGTATTAAAAAATCGTGCAAAGTTAAGCGATCTTTATATTTAAAATATACAAAAATTTTAAACATGGTAAATCAGAAAATAAAGTTAATTTAAAAAGATATGACAGTATTTAAAAAAGATGTATTTTGTGTGCACAAAAAATTTATAACAATAGATATATACGAAATAATAAAAATAAATGTAAAGCTACCTGGAATACAATATCATCAATGACTTCTAATAATATATATAATTACGATATTAATTCCATTTCTTATGATAATAAAATATACAATAATCCTTTTGACATTAGCAATATTTTCAATAATTATTTTATAAATTTGACTAAAAATAATGACTCTGCAAATATTACGACATCTCGATCAATTATTGAAAATACGAATTCTTCTACAATGTTTCTAAGACCTGTGGATGTAAATGAAACTTATAAAATTATCCTTTCTTTGAATAAAAGTAAGTCAAATGGTTACGATGGTATTACTACACACATTATTAAATCGTGTGCTTCTTTTATATGCCATCCTATGACTCATCTTATAAATTTGTCATTTAGTGAGGGGAAGTTTCCAGAGCAACTAAAAATCAGTATTGTGAAGCCCTTATTTAAGAAAGGCAATAAACTATATCCAAATAACTATAGACCTATAACTTTAGTACCAATCATGTCTAAAATCTTCGAAGGAGCTATGCATTCTAGGCTGTTGAGTTTTCTTGAAAAACACCATACCTTACATTCAGATCAATATGGTTTTCGTAAGGGTCGCTCAACTTCTTTAACATGTTTTGAATTTATGCGTCACATAACTGAAAGCCTCGATAACAGAACTCCTGTTGTATCTTTGTGCCTAGATATGAGCAAAGCTTTTGATTTCGTAAGTCACTCTAAACTTTTGCACAAGCTATGCAATTGTGGTGTTAGAGGAAATGCTCTTGAATGGATAAGATGTTTCTTAAACAACAGATTACAGGCTACCGAGGTGAGTAAAATTGTAAAGAAATATAATATACATATAAAACAGTCATATCAATCTGATTTTAGAATAAATAATACCGGTGTTCCTCAAGGAAGTATACTTGGGCCACTACTTTTTCTGGTATACGTAAACGATTTGCCGCGTAGCACAAACAATAAATGCATAATGTTCGCAGATGACACAACAATTGATATTAAATGTGATAATACTAATAATGACACATTTGAATGTAAAATAACCTCAGCACTATCAGACGTTACTAAGTGGTTGGATTCAAATGATTTAAAGTTGAATATAGGTAAAACACGCTTGATTCGGTTTAGATCATACAATTCAAACCCTATTCCTTTAAAAATTAATTTTGGAAATGACGTAATAGAAGAAGTAGATTCAATACGTTTTCTTGGAATCATTATTGACAAACATCTTAATTGGAAGCAGCATATTGACCTTGTATGTGGAAAACTTAACCGGTTTGTATTCGCTATAAAGAAACTGAAACAAACAGTTTCTGTTGAAGCTGCCTTAACAGCATATCATGGTTATGTGTCGTCGGTTTTAAGTTACGGCCTGATACTTTGGGGAGCCTCTGTAGATCTAAACAGAGTTTTTAAAATTCAAAAGAAGTGTGTTCGTGTTATGTGTAATGCTTGGTTTGATGATAGCTGTAAGCCACTTTTCAAAAAGCTTAATATTTTGCCTCTACCTTGTATGTACATAAAAGATATCTATGTATTTGTTCACTCTCATTCCTATTACTGGAGTAAACGTGTGGACAAAACAATATTTACAATATGTGCATAATTTTATATAACAATTTGCCAGATGACATGAAACTGTTAAACATGAATCAATTTAAATTAAAACTGACAAAGTGGCTTCTAGAACACTGCTTTTATAGCGTTAAAGACTTCTTAGCTTTAAAAAAAAAATCCATGACATAATGATAATATATAATAATAATTTGTAATTTTATGAGATGTTTAATATATAATATGATAATAAGAAATGTAATAAGTAAATAATATAATAACAATATTTGCACGCCTGTCCGCAGGCAGAATACTGTACTTGTCTGATTATTTGTGACCTCAATGACTTGTGTTCTGGCAAATAAAGATCTTATCTTATCTTATCTTATCTTTTACGTGCCATTTTTGTTGCTTTGCTGATTATGATGATAAGTATAATATATTTTCAAATGCCATGAAAATAGAACATCAACCGTGAAACAAATTACAAATTTTGATAAAACACTCAATATTTTTAATAACATAAATTAGAATGTATATTTTTTAGCAAAAAAAATATTTAGAATAGCCAGCGCGACAAATCGGCAATTTTAACTTCTAATCGAAAATCTTCGATAATCGATTCATATTGCTTACAAAATTCTCTAAACAATGTTTTCGGAATGAGAATTTGAAACTGTGAGCTAATATGCGACAATGAAAGTATCTCAATTTACACTTAATTGCAAACCGCCAAAACTAATTTAGAAAACAATTAAAAGTTACAAAAACCATTACTTGATTAGACATCAAATAAAAAATTTTCACCTGAATATAATGCATGAAAGCTCTCAATGCTGGCAGCGTGACCCTAGTTAAATGGCCGAGACTGCAACCTTTCATATCGAAGATGACGATGTAACCTTCAGAGAGGCAGTCCTCGGACAACTTGACGTCATTGAACATGCAGAACACCCTGACGGCGTCAGCAAAATTCAATTTGCTATAGTCAAATTCGGAGAGACGGTATAAGAGGACATTATAGCCTTCTTCAGTTGTGTTAGGAAGAGCCACCATATGCCTGAAAATTAAAAAAAAAAACACTTTAATAGTAGGAACACATTTAAATAGATTTTAATTATAAAAAAATTCAAGAGAACTTGTCATGTTAATAAAAGTAGCCATAAGAAATATGTTTTATTGCTCTTGGCTCTTATTTAAATAGTTCACGTTTGCCATGATGTCCGAACAAGTTCTTTTATAAATATAAATTAACATGTACTTGAATAATATCTCATGATATAATAAATATTTCTACAATAACTAAAGTATTGATGGCAAATTTTACAGGCTTAAGTACTCTTCTGGTTTCAATTACTCGAAAAAATTGAACGGAATTTAATTTGAATCAACCCGTCAAACAAACTATATAGCGAAACATTGCGCCTGCATAAATGCAAGGTCATGTCAAAAGGTCAATCGTATGCGCTATTGTGTTTTGACATTCCCAAAATTTTGTTTATTATTTCATCAAAAACGACGCCACTTCTGTAAAGTGCTCACGAGTCATTGTAATGAATTGTACAAAATTAAAACTAATAGAAATCAACAAAATAAGTAAAGTTATAAATAAAAACAGTGACGTAATCAGACGTAAAAATATTTATATTCGCCAAATCTTGTAACTGAATTTCTAAGCAGTTATCGTCAACCGATCAAGCTGACGATATTTCCACTAATTGTTGACCGACTTTCAAAATCCTTTTTTTATACGACAGCTTAATTTACCGAAGTGATCCCAATTAAATTTGTTTGAATCAGTACTTTTCCTTTTATAACAAAACAAAGTATACTTTTCACCAAATATCACATAAATATTTAGTTGATATGGTAAAACATGGCTTTTTCCAGTTAAAAAACAAAAGATTACGTATTTGGAATTCATTCAAAGGTGAATTTTCTATGTTCAAGGAGAATGTATATTTTATGAAAGAAGATATGTTAATCGATTTCTTTTTGATTTGTGTACCAATTTCTACGAAACTAGCTGTTTCCCTGCGTCTTCGGTGCGGTTTCATTAATATATGCCAAGTATTCCTAAATTTATGAGAAGATTGGATAGCTGCTCTCACAGAAAGATAGGTACAGAATAAATCGACTTGCTTACGTTGATTTCATAACTTTTTACGGCAGAAGAATAGCGTTGTGAGATTTGTGCGTTTTTGTACATGTTATGTTTTTGGTGTGATTTTATATTTATACAGGGATAAGAAAAAGTATTTCTACTTGATTCTTTAGATTCCAAAGGGTACCAATGAAATATATTTAGTTTTTTGATTAATTTTCCAATTAAAAAGTTATCGCTGTTGTTTTTCTTAAATATAACTTTTTCATAAATAAACTCACGTAATGTCCAGAATGGTTTTGTTTTTAGGCATCAGTGGATCCCTATTGGTGAACAGGTCAGGTGTGTTGGCTCGTAGAGTGAAATAACATTCAATAGTGTCCTTCGTCTCCTTGACCTTGTAATAGTTGGAGTGAAGGAACAACATTAGGTATTCGTCGGAAACGTACGGCAGGTGCGGCTGACTCTTCATCCTGAAATCGACAGAGCATTGGATTAGAATATAATAATCATCATCATCAGCCTATATTTGTCCACTGCTGGACGTAGGTCTCTTCAAGCGCACGCCATCGAACTCTGTCTTCGGCTAAACTCATCCAGCTTTTTCCACCTAGCTTGAGGGCGTTCCAAACTACACTGGCAAACGCAGTGTGGATTTGAACAGAGTAATTAAATTATTAACCACTAAAATACTATCGCAAAAATTTTAATTATTTCTCGGGCATTTGAAATTTCGAAATATTTACACAATAATAATAATGACGACTGCATTGCCTTATAACAAAAAGAAAATCGTATAGATAAATATAAACATACACGTACTGTAAATACAAAAAATAGACATGACAAACATTTATTTTACGACACAGCAAATATAGTTATTTGATTGGGTTTTTGGTATTCCATCTTACGAAACCATAAAACTTATTATGCAGGCATAGTAGGTGCTGCTATTATTATAAATATACTCAATTTCTTATAGTCTCACGGTTAAACAAAACGAAAGAAATTTTACAGTAACAGGTTTGTTTTATCACACAAGTTATATGTTGTAATAGTACGTCTTACAAAGCTTGTGAACCAGTACAGCAATTAAACATATTACACTACATTTTTCATAACACGAACATAACCCTTTATTTAATATTACCAGTGAATGGGTCGGCGTCTCGCGGGTGATGACTGAACCGTTATCAAAAAATCCTGTCCAACAATGAAAAACGCATGGAGGGACATTCCATAACTTCTATCCATCCATCCAAAGCGAGTTAAAAATCTAAAGCCTGGCTTACACTTCAATAAGTACAGTTGCCTCTTTAGCGAGTTAAGATTGTGCACACTTAAAATTATTATCTTTCAATTGGTTTTGTATCAAAAAATAACTACATCGTATTTCTAAAGATTTTGTCACAGTCAAAATAAGAATTTATAAATTTTTCTGAATAGTAAAACTTCGCAAAATTGCGCCTAAAATTAAGATTTATTATTGATTTCTTATATTTTCACACGCTATCGCTATCACTATCCATCAAATAAAAAACTTTAAACGGTTTCATCGCGTTTTTATTTTCTTTTATTGACGTTTTGGACCCTTTACAGGTTCCGTGTTCACATAAGACATAGATGTTGATTGTCTTTTTAATTAAGAGTATAGCTAGCTACCTTCAAAACCATTGGACACATTCACATTCAATTGACTTATTTATTTACCCTTGGCTACCATAAACTACCACCAACTCCAAATTTGAGAGTCCTGTCCGAGAAGAACTGGCGAAACAAACTCCGACTAGAAAAGTGAATTGCTCCCTTTGATTTAATATTAACAGAATGAACTAACCCTGTATCTTTTGGTTTTGCAATGTGTTATCTAGATTGTGATTTTGTTTAACTAAATTATTGCATCCCAAGCCTGTGGTATATTCCAACTTTCATCTCTATTAAAATTCGGATATTTTTTAATATCAATTGGCTCGCGTTTCATTCCAGGAATGAATATTTGTTCGGTCGCAAAATTTTTTGAATTGTCAAATTTTATATAATGCTTGGTCCTCCGGTCCCGCTAACGCATGTTCATGTAAAATTGTATTACACACATGTATTTTTCAAATAATTTTTAATTGAATAAATGTCAACGTATCCATAAAATATATATTTTTTATTATACGAGTAAATATAAATTAATTTATTATAATAATAAACTTAGGTTTATAGTTAATAGGATTAATTATGGCCCTAGAATTGTTTTCATGTTTTCTTTTAATGATTTTACATCTGTAGCGAATAAATCTTTAGCTACGTATATTTTAACCATTATCATAATTTAAGATTTAGATATGCAATTTAAGTAACATTGCATGTAAGCAGATATTAAAAAACGTTAATATTCAGAACTGTGTTACGAGTAACCCCAGTTACATGTCCATCCAGTCAGTGAAATAATACCAGGCGAACATAAATACATTGCGTGTGCGAACAGGTTTTATTTGGGCAACAGCCGCATTTCACGAACTAAAGCTGAGCATACACTAACTCTTATCACAGAACCAAAAGACTTCAGTTCCAAAGCGTAATATTCCCGACGTATTCCTCACTGGCATTTTATAACCAAGATGTCTTAGCTCTCCATAAACTGTAATCTCTCCATAAACGGAAACGCATCTGCATTGCCAGTGTGAAATTTACAAATTCATTAATCCATTCTTTATATTAGTTACGGAGAAACTGAGATAAGTAAAGTACTTACCTATTTAGTTAGGTTATCAGTAAAATATGTTTTTTTTAATAAAATTGTTTGTCGGATATGTTGATTGGAATTTAATCAGAATCAGAACCAATGAAAATTATTAATTAAAACCAGTCATTATCATTCAGTTGAAATTTCTACGCACTGCAGTTTTGGGCAGAATAGGTTTTAAGGTTGCTTGTTGGTAATTGGCATAAATATCGACAGGTCCAAAAGAGCCTTTATGTACTCAGCTTTATACACTAAGGAGCTCTGCATGCTAGCTTGTATTTGTCCTAATCGGGGCTATGTACACATAGTTATACAATATTTCATTTAAATGAGTAATAAGCTCTTTCTTTTATGAATTGTGAACTACTCGGAGTGGTTACATAAAAAGAGTGTTTTTAAAAAGAAATTCGTATTTACGCTTTTACATAAATAGTAAATTTATTCAACACGAAAGGTTTTATTTTAAGTCAACGACATTAATGTTACTTTTTTATTACGCATGCACATGTACCGTTAGCCGTTACTCTTGTTTCGTCAGATGTAAGTATATCGAACTCGATCACACGAATAACTAAAACAAGTGACTATCAAAGTTGATTTCAATACAATGTAGAGTTACAGACAGGGTCCACTCAATATCACTTTCGTATTCAGTGCCGATCATTCCAATAATGCAAAGAAAAATAGTAAAGTATGATACAACTGATGTGGCTCTCTGAAGTACCTGTTAAGGTTAAAAATTTAGAAACGCAGCAAATATCGGCCAATCATAATGATTAAAGAATCACGCCCTCCCAACTACGGTTCGTAACCCGGTATAGTGTGAGTGAAAAGGACACCCAGGTGCATTTTACTTTACGCCTTATAGTTAATGAAATAACACTCACTATAATTTTAATCATAAATATGTTCTGTCATTATCGGAACTAGTAGATCCGAAGGGTCGAAATCTCGTCCATTTTCAAAATTCCAAAGATGATTCGAATGACTTCAAAGAAACGTGTTTTTCGATAAGTTAAAACTATATCCTTGATTTAATCTTCAAGGATATAGTTTTAACAAAATTATATGAATAAGTAATTCGTAATTTCCCGAAACTTCGTTCGTGGACAAACAGAGGTCGCATTCGCCATATGTAAGTATTAATTTTAAATATTTTGGAAATTACTGTACCTAATTTAATTTACTTACTCACTACACGCATCATTCACTTTCACCGAGTCGGTCTACGCAACTTACGTTACGATACATGACGCAATCTGTTATTCTCTGATATTATTGAAAAATTCTGGAAATATCTAACCGGTTTGGCGAATTCTAAGTGTTTTATTGTACTCGTATTTAGACACCAAGGTTAAGATAAAAACATTGTTGAATATCGAATATTCAATCAATCAGCTAAAGGTAGGTATCTATTTCGCGAAAAATGTCAAATGAACTGGGTGATTCCTGGTTCACTTTGCACACTTTCTCACTACAAGAATATAATCTAAAATAAAGCACGTACACGTCTTTAGCATTACACCCAAAACTATCAAATATTGTAAAAATGCTGCAAACATTATTCGGCTACAAAATTACTCATATATGTATTTATAAATGTTTCTTATAGAAAAGGGAAATGAGACAATTATTGTTAAAGTCGTAGGAAAGAAACTATGACGATGTGAATATTACGAACAAAATATCAAATATGAGTTCAAAAAAGTTCAAAAGTACTCCTTGTGATTTTGCCCAAAATACCAACCGTCTTATTATAAAACGAGGAGTAAAGTCAGTACTTGGTTTGAACCGTTGTCCGCCTAAAGTGAAAACGTCATATTGACGTGTTGACTTATTTTGAGCGGTTAATGATTTCACCGGTACTAAAGTTCATCACCTACCCGTTAATGTCCCCAATGAGGGTTACGAATCAAATCAAATAGGGAGAAACTACAAAACCCCTCCTTTAGTAACTATGAGTTAAAGCAAGTCTTTAATTTTATAATAAAACGCGAATATTATTACTGATGATTTGATTTTATTGCGAGAAGCCATAGCATAAATATATAATCAAACTTGCAAACAACGTTATATTTATGCCGAGGTATTATCATTAAAGTCTATGTTTACGGTGCGATCATTAAAACCTAACCTTGCTTGTCTCGTGCGTAACTACCATAGTTACCTACATACCTTTTTAAAATAACATCTTCGTATAACTTCAACTACTCATCAAACCTTAACCTTCTTTCAAGTTTAGGCCGAATACGTAAGATTCAAGGTTACCAATCGGGTGAATTTTAAAAATAAACTTTTCTGTACGATCACGCGTCTGATTATTGTTGTAACTTCCTTGTTTCAGATTTCCATAACACAATTGCTTTAGCTATATAATTTAAGGAATTAATGTGATATTTTCTAATATTTATATAACATTAATATAAATTTGAATAAATAATTGTCAATTACATGAAAATACGACGACATTGTAATAGGTTTTCAAAAGAGATAATGTGCGATGATTCACAATAATATTTTCTATATGACAATAGTTAGTACAAAGTTCAGAGTTCAATTGATTTCCTACTCAAGAGAAATTATGATTTATAGTAGCAGTCACGTCTTCTAGACTTATCTTGTAAAAGTTTAAAGAAATAAAGTTTACTTACCATTCCCTGATCTGTTGCAACTCATCCTCATAACCTTCAGGCATGGCTTTCTGCCGCCGCATGAACGGGTGTGAATATTTGGTGGCCGACATCTTTATGATGTGACGCTCCTGATATCAAAAATGTATATTATTCATAACGAGCATATGTTATTGTTTTGATACCGTATAAGTTTTAGGTCAATAATAGTATGAATGATATTATTATTTGATAAATTTTCATTCATAATCTAAAAGTCAAATTGAGTGTAAACTATTTTGGTCGGATAATAGTGTAAACCTGGTACTAAAATCAGTCCTCGTTTATTAAGTAGTAGTATTATAATTCGTCCATGGGACAGGCGAAGGAACTCGTTTATTAAGACGGACGTAGGTAGTTTTACTTGATTGAAACTGTACACAGTAACAGCGCTGCGCTTGAATTTGAGTTCTCATTTAATAAAATTGTTAGAAGGCTTACAGCTATATAATGAAGAAACTTATAAAACTATAATAAAAACTAATTAAAAGTCTCCACCGTTACTAAAATACTACTTGAAATATGTACGAATATTTCTACGTGTAACAGTGATTAAGCACATATTATACACCATGTTCGCAGCTATGATAAAATCAGTAGTATATAGCATATTGCATGGTACTCACACATCGTTGAATAACACACTGGTTAAAATATGCCTAGCCAAAACCACGCTAACGTCGAAGGGATCTAACTTTGTCTGCCTTGATAATCATTGAAATTGTTGAAAGCTCGCCAGAGATATGCATTCTGCCTATAATTGGTTTAAACGGGAGGAATGTAGGTATAGATGCGGATTGAATCTGAGAGTCATTTTCGGGGTTCTAAGAAACATTTTAGATACTAATTCAGGACAATCAATTACACCAGATGCAATTTTCATTAAATATGTATAAAAGGTCTGCAATCTTGCGACGCCTTTCTAATACCACTGCAGCTCCTATTACAAATACCTATTTCATCATCATTATATCATCATCAACCCTTTTACGTCCCCACTGCAGGGGCTCACGCGTTCCTTATGGATGGTTAAGGCGCTCCTGATAACACTGACTATGACCCTCCACGCTGGGCCAATTCAGATTAGAGGGTAATAACGAGTGCAATTGGAGACGGGGCCAACCACTAATGTGCCTTCCGACGTACGGAGTAGCTCGAGATAATAATTTTTTGGTCACCCATCCCGTGATCGACTCTTGCGAAATTTATTTTACAACAACGATCGCGGGCCGAGGCGCATATCCACTAAGCCATCCAGCTGCACAAATTTAAAGATATATACCTATTTAGCAACTGTTATATAATCACAACAGAAATAACTTTCAATTCAATAGGTAGCACATAAATGACCTGCAGATTGCCGTTAACCAAAATTACACTTCCATTGATTTGGTTGACATCGGTTTGGATCAAAATGTACTCAACATTCAATACTGTCGCACGTAACTGTCAACTAGAGGTTCAGTAACTCATGATGTCAAGCAATTATTAAAATTATTGTTCTCCAACAAGTATAGAAGGCAATTACATATTATATCGCGTCATTAAAATAATTAGATAAAACCAGAAAATAACTACTGCACTGAGCATAAAAAATAATAATACATCATGTTATTTCGTTAAAACTTATTTTATTACATTACTAAGCAGCATTGAGTTATGGAAGTACAAAAAATATATTAGTTCCCGAAACCTAACTAGATGTCGCTACGGTACGTTCATAATTTCTCCATGACAACCCTTCCGGTTTTCTTTTATGTTTAAAAGTAAATTAGTTTTCAAAACTCAATAAACAACTCATATTCTATTTGTACTTTTTCGTATTTGTATTGGTATCTAAGTTTCGAACTTTTCTAATTTCAGTTTTTAATATGTTAGTTAAAAGGAATGGAAATGACTGTGTTAAGTCCATTCGTTTCCTGCAAAAATCAACTTTTTCTAGAGTCGCCATCTAGTGGAGGTGCTTTTTAAGTTCTCGTTTTTTTAATAATTCCTCATTACAAGTGTTTTTCATTCGTTCAAAATCCGAAAGGATTCTATGTTCAACGGGTATGTATAGGTATTTTTTATATAAGTAGGTATGTTCATCGATTTCTTCTTGAATTTAATCAATAATAATCTACAGAAAACATATGCCCGAATTCAATAACAATTTCTTGAGTAAGTCGCTTTAAAGATAATATTACTTCTCACTTTTCAAATTTGAAGTCGGTTCTATTTTAAAAAAAAAATTTCATGGTTTAAATTTTAAACCATTGACGTAAAACATTAAATTTATTTTTCAATTTTACTTTTTTGCAAAGTTGAACCAGTTTTTGCATCGTTCTGTTGTTTAGCTTTTTACGCCGTGTCCGACAAAGCATTTAGGTATATGTTCGGCTTGTAATCCGTACGTCTTTTGTTAGACGTATTGTTAATCTAACGGTCGCGATACTCGCAGCATATGCACAACGAATTAAAGCTACGCAGGGACACAGTGTTCTTCTTCTTCTTCTTTTTAATTAATGACTTTGCCCTTGAGGATTTCGCCAGAATCCAGTGATTCGCTCAGTTTAATTCATCCTATTAATATTATAAAGGCGAAAGTTTGTAAGTATGGATGTATGGATGTTTGTTACTCTTTCACGAAAAAACTACTGGACGGATTTGGATAAAACTTTACAGCAATATAGGTTATACATCAGAATAACACATAGGGTACTTTTTACTGGGAAAACTTCTCACTCCCACGGGATACCGACTTCCACGCGGACGAAGTCGCGGGCGTCCACTAGTATTTTAATATTTTATATACTGTGTTAAGAATAAAGCGGCACAGCGTCAATGGCGTTAATTTGTCATTAATAAACAATCGTAACTGACAAGTAATTACGCCCCTGTTTAACGGATTATGTTACTAATTACAATTCAAGTTTAATTAACAAATGAAAGTGGTTTGTGGTCCGCTGCGCTTGCGCCGCACGGCGCAGTCGTCGAACGGTCGCAGACCACTAATTTTGCCGTAACCGCTCGTGCCCGAATTCAATTTCCCGAAACCGTATACAATTCTATTACAAATGTTTATGGTTAAATAGTTTTGCAAGATAATATTATTACTATTTAGTGGATTAAACAATTTTTAAAGAAATATGGTTAAATAAAATCGGTGACTAAGTGAGTACAAAACCCTTAAAATAAGCGATGGAACGTTTGGTATTAGATTTTTTCTCAGTTAAAGAATCATCATAATAGAATCTAATTAATAAATTCATATCCAATTATCTTGGGATTCATCGAATAGTTTTATATTAATTGCCCCACAACATGAATGAATAAATAATTGCACATACAAAATATAGATGTAAAAGGCGGCGTAATTGCTAAGGTAGCAATTTCTACCAGGCTACCCTTGGGCTAAAGGAACTATACCAATTCAGTAGAGAAACTGCGGACATTAAAGAAAGAAGAATGAGAAAAATCATAAAGTAAATATATGTACTCGTATATATGTTATGGGAAGTTTTCAAGTCTCGGAGAGGATTAGAAGAATGAAAAACAAAGCGTTCTTTAAGATATTACGGTGTCTGAAAATTAAGAAATATAGAATAAAGAAGCGATAGCACGTGACAGTCCAGGTAGCCATTGAAGTTGGATACGATAATCATACTTGCGTAGACCAAAGATAAACCAAATTATGAAGACACTCAAGCTTATTTAGCTGTATGGTACTTAGGTCGGAATAATGGGAATCAGCACATCAAGCGGTAGGAGAAGCAGGGTTTGCGCAAGAGTGATTTTTGTCTTAATCGGCAAAAGATTTTTCGGCCGTTTGAGCGAGCAATATGCACCAGATACTTTTGTACTGACTTTAATATGTTATAATATAATAGAAAATTTCATTTGAATTTACTTAATAAGTAAATAGTATTTACTACCAGTGTCGGTCTTGTCCCGGACGCCAGTGTCAGAAGGGCGCCAATATCATCATAATAAATACGACTAAATAAAGGACGAGCTTCACAAAAACTATTTTAAAAATTGTACACATTAGGTTACGATGGGACTGACATGATTCAAAGTCATAAAATTAAATGAAAGAAAATCATACAGTGCAAAATATTACCATATTTATAGTTGAAGGTTTTGTACTGTAGTTGAAGGGGGAAACTCATCACCCTTCGCAAACTCTTCACCTCACAAAACATGTGGCTTATCCTTTTACAAAGAAATATTAAACAGTACCGAAGTAAGTTACCTCACGCCTATGTGACGGTGGCGACATGGCCAATCCACATGTATTGACTAACGGCCGTGCGTTAAACTAAAGTATTTTCATTTTACAAGTCAGAAAATCTCAGTTTTATTAAATTGCTATCAACCGATCATTAAAAAACTAAAATCAGAAACGAAAACCTGTTTAAGTACAGTTTCAAACGTTCTTAACATTAAATTTCAATCAAAAATCTGGTATCTGTTGCATAGTTTGTAAAATTACTCCACTCAAAACTTTTTGACGTTGCACCCAAGTCATATGATATAATTAATTCTCTTAGAAAACTATTATTTAAAATAAAATGCGATGTGACATCTGTCTTAGTAAATACGTCATAATACATTTGACAAGGGATCGTCACGTCAAAATTATGGAAACTTTTACATAAATAATTCTCTAGAATATTTAATATTCATTACACTAATGTCACAATTTTATTTCTTTATTATGAAACCAAAAATTAACCACGGTAATACTCGTAGCATGCTGTCAGCTTTAATGCACACGTTATTTATAGTGCAATAAGATTAGATTACCTCAAACAAAGGCAAAGTAAGCTATAAAAAAACATTAAAAAGGAGGCTTTTGATATTTTTATAGTTACAAAAGCGGTTAACAAATTCGATAAAGTTCATTTAAGTATAGGCGAGGATTTTGTGACCACGCATTAAGCCATCCAACTTGAAATGAAGTTAAATTTGAAGCTGGTTTTACTTTAAATAAAAATAAGTTATTACATTTTAGGTGTCGAGAGACACGACGTCATACAGATAATTTAGACAGTGATATATTTCCAGTCCCAGTTCTTTAATATAAGTAAGTACTGTTTTGATTTTTTATATATATTTTTTATATTTTAGATTCGATAATTTGAATCA